CAGGGCGCTCGGGGCTGGCGTGAGCGCGAGCCACGCAAGGCGGGCAGCCCCGCGAAGCCCAGCTCCCGCCTGCAAGCCTCTCCACCCACCCGACACGACCGCCCTTCCCTGCGGCCACACCTCACACCGCACACTGGCCGTCGGCAGCCCTGGACAGTGGACACTCGGGGGCGAGCGTCCCTGGGGAGCCTTCGCTGTCTGAGCGGTGTGGGGGGCTAAGTCAGACTGTAGCAGTCGTCGTGGGTGAGGGGGACACGGGTGAGACTCTCGGTTTGTTAGACGGCTCCGGCATGTGCATTCGGGGACGGGGCCCCCTGCTCGGGACTGGGGCTCACCACCAAGCACCAGCCCCTGCAGGGCAGCTGGCGGCCGGCATGACCTTCCTGGTGACTGGGGCCGGGCGGGGCGGCCTGCCCATCCGCCGGGCTGGGGTGTGGCCTCCCCTTTTCTCCATTGGCCCCAGGAGCAGAGCTGAGGGGCAGGCCTGGCCCACGCCGGCCTCCCCTGCACGGGCTTTATAAGGAGGCTGCAGGCCTCAGGCCTGCGGGGAAAGGCCACTTCCTCCACCCGCCACCCTGTCACCAATGAGCGTGATGGGGACTCTGTGCCTGGCTGGAGAGCAGGCTGACCTGCCTTCATTCCCAGCGGGCTCAGTACTCCAGGCCGGGAGGAGATGGGGTCCCTCGCCGCCCCCTCAAACACTCCCAGCAACCGAGGTAGCGCGTGCCCTTTCTTTCTCAGAAAGCCCCAAGAGGACAAAGGGCTCTCGCGGCCGCGGGAGGGGGTGGGCAAGTCAAGTCCTGCGAGGGACAAGCCCGGCCGCGTCCGGCCAGGCACGGGGCTCCGGCCGGTGACTCAGCCCCCAGGGCGCGGCCGCTGCCTGGACCAGCCAGCACGGGCGCGCCGGGCCGCATTTATGTGCGTGTGTTGGTGCTCCCTGTGGATGGTGGGCGCGTGGGGGTCCTCGCTTTGCTGGGACTGCCGGCCAGCGTCTCCCTGCCTGGGGCCAGGCGCCCGGCGGGAGCTCAGCAAACAGCTTTGTTTTCTGATACTGCTGATGGGGGAGTCGCTCCTTGGACACAGAGCTCCTCCAAGAAACCCTCACCTTGCTGGGGAGATGACAGCGCGGTTGCCATGGAAACCAGCTGCTCTCCAACTCTGCACACTGGATGCTC